AGATGACTTTTAGAGCATTGGTAGGAATGGAGGATTTTGATATAATGGGAATAACTGAAACATGGTTAAACATAGATGATTTGGATGACAGAAATTGTTTTGAAATACAGGGTTACAGGTTATATAATAGGGATAGAGTACTAAAGAGGGGAGGAGGAGTTGCTTTATATGTAAAATGTGAGTTACATCCTGTTGAAGTTGAGGATATCAAAGATAATAGCAAAGGGATTGAATCCATTTGGATATAAAGGGAAAAGGCTTTTAGTGGGAATTTGTTATATACCACCAGGTGATACTGATGAGATTAGTGAGAAACTTTACAGTGAGATTAAGATTTCAGCTGTTAATGAAATCATAATTATGAGTGATTTAAGTTTCAGGCATATAGAATGGGAAGTTCTAGAATCAAACCATGAGGGAGAAAGGTTTTTGAAAACTGTTCAGGATGGCTTTCTTCACCAGTTAGTCAAGGAACCAACTAGAAACAATGCTATTTTAGACTTATTGTTAACTTCAAATACAGAAATGATTGAGAGGGTAGAAATTGGGGAACATATGGGTGCTCTATTACGTTCAATGTTTTGCTGCATATGGAGATAAGGAATAATGATATTTTGGTTACAAATTTCAAATTTTGAAGGGATGCGACAAGAATTATCTGTTCTAAATTGGGCAGTTGAGTTACTTGGAGACACTGATCAGATGTGGAAAATTTTTAAAGATATATTTTTAAATATTCAATGTAAACATATTCCTAATAAGAACAGGGTAGCTTCAAGTGAAAAACCAGGTTGGCTCACAAAGAGCTTAAGAAATAAAATTAAACAAAAGCATCATAAATTTAAGAAACTGAAATTGACTGGTATGAGAGGAGACTTAGGAGATTATAGAATATAAAGAAAGTTGGTGAAACAGGAGACTAGGACATCAAAAAAGACATATGAGAAAAAGTTGGCTGAAAATGTAAAAATTAACAGTAAGGATTTCTTTAAATACATTAATGGGGAAACAAAATGTTAGGATAGAACCCTTGAAGAATGACAAAGGAAGGCTAGTATCTGATGATTATGTGATGGCTGGGTTAGTGAATTTTATTTTTTCTTCATTTTTTACTAATGAAGAATTAAGCAGTATTCCACATCTTGATCAGTTGATAAATGGAAACGAGATCAAACAAGATGACTACATTAATTCTGAGCTGGTTAAGGTAATATTTCCCCAAAGGTTTTGAAGGAGGTTTTTTGTCAGTCCTTGAATAGTGGGCAGGTTGTACCAGAGGATTGGAAGTTAGCTAATGTAACTCCTCTTTTCAAGGGAGGTGTTAAAAAATGTCCCAGTAATCATAGACCCATTAGTCTTACATCAGTTGTGGGAAAAAGTGTGGAAAGTTTGTTAAAAGATGCTTTGCGAAGTCATTTAACAAAGTTTAGAATTTTATTGGATAGTCAACATGGTTTCACTAAAGGAAAATCTTGCCTTACAAATCTTTTAACATTCTTTGAAAAGGTTACTACTTATGTAGATGAGAGTAAGGGTGAAGATTTGGTATATCTGGATTTTCAGAAAGCATTTGACAAGATGCCACATAAAAGGCTTGTAAAAACAACTAGCTCTATAGATGTGGTGAATAAGTTAGCAAATTGGATAGAAGAAAGCAGAGGGTTGTTATAAATGGAGTTCAGTCAAACTGGATTAATGTCACAAGTGGGGTACCTCAGGGCTAAGTATCAGGACTTATGCTCTTTTTGATTTACATCAATGACTTAGATGAAGGGATAGTCAATAAATTACTTAAATTTGCAGATG